ACGTGTGCTCTTCCGATCTATACTCGATCTCTGTCGTTATGATGTTATGATTATATAATATTTCTTATGTATATTGAAACTTTTTATTGTATATTTTGATATCAAAATATATTATAAAAAATAAAATATAAATGTATGTAACCTTAAAAAAATATATATCCCAAGTAACAAACTAACGTTATTTGTCATTATACTGATATTAGCTTGTTACTTGAAACAAAACTCAAAAGAGGACTGTTGATTATAATCTAAAAATATATAATATAATATAACAGGGGTGGTGGTGGGCCTTTTCGGGTTAATTTGTTTTAACCCAATTAAATCATATATAAAATCTCAAATTAAACATACATAGTTGGAAAATTTTCAAATGTATTCAATCTTTGTAGTTATGTACTTTGTATATTGAAGCTTTTTTGTACATTTCGATATCAAAAGACATTACATAAAATAAAATATAAATGTGTATATGTATATATATGTAAAAGACATTATGTAAAAATAAGATATAAATGTATATAATTAAATGTATAAAAATACGTACCACCCAGGTAGCAAACTATAAACGTTATTTATCATCATGTTAACGCCATGCATTAGCTTGTTGCCTGGGATAGAAGATCGAGGACCGCTGATTATAATTGGCGGGGGTGGTGGAGGGTATTTACGGGCTAATTTATTCTAGCCCAATCAAAATTTTATTTGTATTTTAAATTGAATATACTTTGTTTAGAAAAATTTCAAGTTTAGTCAATGACTTGCAAATTGCTAGTATAATCGGTAAAATAAAATAGCTTACATAAAAAATATTGTTTATGCAATATAGTGATTTTGTCATATAATTTTCTATAATTTTGTATTACATAATGTCTTTTTTGTTGTATTATTTTATATGCGTTATATTAAATTATATATTTCTAGCGCATTTTTTAAGTATAAGAAATAAGACTGTTACATTTCTTCAAAAGAAATGTTTGATTTTTTAAAAAGAAATATGACTTAGGGGGATTTTTTATGTTTATTAATGTTTGTCGAAAACTTGCAGGCATTTCTTAAACAACAATTAATTCATGTAATAAACTCAATCTTGAAAGAAATTCTTTTAATATATGTTGTCACTGTCTTAACTGACTAATTCATGATTCTATTAGCCTTTATAACTGAGCTTATTAATATTGAAATAATTTTTTTCTCCGCAGATTCGAGTGATTTATATACATTGTATTTGAGTATTTCTATAATTGCCAAGTTTGAAGAAAAGCATTTATCACTCGATTACTCGCTGGTGACATGTGCATACCTATATGCAAATCAAACGATATGCGAGCTCGAAGTGTTACGTATGTACTAGTCAGAGTAATCAATGTTAAACATTATTTCATTCAAATCTATTTTTTGAAGCAATGGATGCAATGTTATATTTATTCGTAACGTTTTTTATAATTTGACATATAAATCTCGATATATATACTTATCTATATAGCTAATCACGCGAGCTAGTAAAACTTGTTTACTGTAATAACCGAATGCAGCGATCTTTATATTACCTAGTTGTGATTGCATTTTGATAGAAAATGCGAAGATATGCGGATTGCTCTCTGCCTGAACAAGCATCCGAAGCTGAATGATCGCAAAAATGCAGACGCACATAAGATATAACACCTTACCCGCTGCAACGCATTTCGTGAATATAACGATTAAGCCCGCATGCTAACAGTAATTGTTGTCACAAAATACTCAACGTATATTTAGAAATAATTAAGTAAATGCCAATAATTTATTTGTTACATTTTATATAGCTTCCGATAAACGTATTATAATATTACTCTGCACTTTTTCTACTTACTTATTTGTTTCAAACTCTTGTTATATACTTACTTATATTCTAAATACCTTAATTTTTACAAGCAATTGAAGAATTCGGTGCAAAAACCGGTCAGTTCCATTTTTTAAAACTTATTACAGTATTAACACAAAAAACTTCTTTGCCAAGTAAGTATATTATGCGAAATATATATTTTACAAAAATACGTGAAAATATGTGATCACTTTGTTCAGAGCTGTCGGAGTCGCTCATTTGTCATACCAAAAAACGCAGAATGTTCGCATATTAAATCCACTCAAAGTCATTAAAAAAAAATGGAGATGATCGGTTTTGTACTTCAATTTTATTAGTTTGTAATCGAATGTTTATTAAATCGTATGAATATAATAATTATTTATCAAAACAGGTACAGGTACTTCGTATTTCAAGTATAAAAAGCATATAAAATGCAGATAATAAATACAAATGCAAATAACTAAAATTTATTTATTTTATCGAAGATGTCATGATGTGTCTCAATAATATATCTTCCAAGTTCATTTGTAAAATCTCACGAGCGCTATTGTCCTCCAAAACGTCGAATTTCGCGTTTTCATCGATCGTCATTTCCAATTCATATAGAACAGAATTGTAATCAGAGAATATCGAGTTCTGGATCTTTTGGAGTTGATACTGCGATTTAATTAACGTCTGCCTATCAGTCATGATTTTTATCTGTTCGTCAGCCAATTGTTTGCAACACTGGTGTAATTTTTCTTTACACTGCATTTTAGAGTTATCATCGACAAGTTTAAGTACATCCGTAATTTCCTTCAGAGCTTTTTCCATAGCCGTAAAACGTTCAATTTGTTCTACAAAACATTTGGTTAATTCTAGCAGCATGTTGTTATATTGCTTCATATTTTGTACGAATTTCTGACGATTTAAATTGGATGACGTTTCCGTTAAATCATGCAGTTTAACAGGAGCAAGAACCTGTAAAATTTAAAAGTTACTTCAATTTTATTTCTCACAACTTAGTTAATTAAAATATTTGGCAGCTTTTTTAAAAAAAACGTACACATTGCAGCTTCTGTTCGAGTAGAGCGATGGATTCTTTTAAGCTGGCAATTTCCTGATCCTTTACAGAACACATCTCCGAACATTTCAAACTTTCTACAGTTTCTGCGCAACTGTCGCTGTGAAGCTTGCAATTTAACGCCTGTCTCTTAT